GAGATCCAATTTTAATAATGTCCCATTTTGGGTACTCGTGGTTCTCTTTGTGCCTAAATCTTTTAATCTTGAATATTTTCATTTTGGTGTTACTAAACAGCAATGTTGTCAAATATCTTGAGAGTTTCTCTTCATGTTTTCATCGATACTTAAGAAGTTATCAACCTTTCTAACAGAAATGTCTGAGATATATGCCTCTTTTGAATGAGGTGGCCATCTTCTTCTTAACTGGTCGTCCTCTTGTATTGTTTCTATGCACTGGGATATGTTCCTTATGTTTGAACAGGGCGATCATCTTCTTCTTGATGGGTTGCTGACAACATCACAAGGGAGTGATACAAGTTTTATCATCCAGCCCTTCTGATTTCTCGGGCTTCTTACTTTCAAGAATGTGAAATATTTCATGTTCGGATACTTATTCGTTTTCTCCAACAGAGTTAGAATAGACATCATATGCTTCAAGGACTTTTCTTATCATGAGATCATATCATATGCTTCTGGTATATCTGACCATGACAAATACCTTTCAATCTCTTTTCTTCAATCAAATTCAACTGGTCATATCTGGCTTGTACCCATTCTGATTCATCTAGTTTTACGTTTGATAAAAACTCATAATGAAGGAATTTTTACCTCAATGGGTAAGACAACTTTCATCCCATAAGCTAACGAAAATGGAATTACCCCAGTTAACGTCCGTACTGAAGTCCGATAAGCCAATAGAGCGAATGGTAATTTCTCATACTAGTCCTTATGAGTTTTAGTCATCTTCTCTATAAGCCTCTTGATATTCTTATTAGCTACCTCAACTGCCCCATTCATCTTTGGGCGATAAGTGATGGAATTATGATGCTTTATCTGGAACTGCTCACAGACTGATTTCAACATCTTGTTGTTTAAATTCAAAGCATTGTCAATAATAATCATTTCTGGTAGTCCATATCGACAAATGATTTCTTTTTTCAAGAATTTACAAACTATGGACCGAGTGATGTTCACATAAGAAGTTGCTTCTACCCATTTGGTAAAATAGTCTATTGCTACCAAAATGAAGCGATGACCATTTGAAGCTTTGGGAAAAATTTGTCCAATAACATCTATTCCCCACATGGAGAATGGCCACAGAGATCTCATCATGTGTAATGGATGAGGAGGAGTATACATTTTGTCTCCATAAATCTGACACTTATGACATTTTTAAGCATAATTGATACAATCAGTTTCCATAGGCATGGATACTCATAAGCCTACATTTCAATAGGCATCATGCTCGAATGCTCATTTACCTTAAATGCAGCTGCCAAAGTTGCCAAGGCATCTGACATTTGGTTTTCTTCTCTAGGGAGGTAATTGAAAGTTAATTCTTCAAATTCTTTGACGAGTTCCAAAATCAATTTATCGTATTCTACAAGCTTGGAATATTTTTTTCCATTCCCCTTGATTTGATAAATTACTAGAGCTGAATCCCCATATACCTTGAGCATTTTTACCTTACGTTCAATGGCAGCTCTAAGACCCATAACACATGCCTCATACTCAGCCATATTGTTTGTGCAATTGATCGCTTGTAAATGTATATGCTAAGGAAAACAATTCTGTGCAAGTATACATAATCGATGCAAGTAATATAGTAGTGAGTGAGTTATCGTCTCCTCAGGGATTGGTTTAGAAATTTATCCTCACCACAACTAGAACTAGTTGTCACAAACTAATTCCTACTATCTTGTCAACTTAAAAAGCTAATATTAATAAAGCAAGAAAATAATATAATGTGTGATTGTAGAAAAGTTTGGTCGAGGAAAAATAAATATGCAGACTACTAAAACAAAACAAGGCAAAGTGTGGATTTAAATATGATTCAAACAACCTCACATATTTAGACTTATCACAGAGAACTTATGCTAATCTTTTGTATTGACAACAATTACTCTAAGTCTCGAATGAATTATTATGACTTGCTTAAGCTGCCCGACAGGATTACTAGGTGTTCTAAACGGTTGCTATGGCAATACTACTCAGCGTTAACTATAACCCTTGGTTTGTTAGACTGTTGTTGTAGCAATACCTCTCAGCGTAAACTATAGGCGTTGTATATCCTACTCTAGCGCCTATCCTTTTTAGTCGATTGAAACCCGCTCCTTATCTCTAAGGTAGACGAGTTAGAACTTCACCATTCTGGATTCATTTCATTGTTCACGTAGATCTATCTTAATTCTCTCGAATCTAAGAATCACTATCTAGACAAAAGGCGATCTCTCGATGTCTTATATTGCCAATTCATGTTTTACCGAAACCCAAGGTGATCTACTAATGCTCTTACAGTGTCAAGGTAAAATAATTAAACAATGAACAAAACAATCATGAGCAAAAACATAATTCATCATTCATAAACATAAAATAATTGTCTAGGCAACACAAAGATTAACACCAAGTAAGACAGTCATGGTGCTATAAAAAATCATCCAAGATTCAATGTTTAATACAACCTCAAACATATAAAGAAATTAAGAACAAAGGAAGAACGACTCCCAAAACCGTGGGCTCTGTCGTGACAATTCTGATAAGCACCGCACCTATCTTGGTGATCAGCCTTTCTCGAGACCTGATCACCGCTCTGCTACAGTCTGGCTATGGAGGACACCAAGGAAGGTTGGTTGGTGAACGGTGAGAAAGAACTGCAGTTGCTCGCTCCTGCTTTAGGTAAAGCTCTTATCTCTTCTTCCTTGCCTCCCTCTTTTGGCGGCTACGACTGGTTATTTATAGGGAAGAATCTCCTAGGGTTTTGCATAATTGGAGATTCCTTAAATAACCATTGCTTTCTTATCCAGACTTAAAAAAGAAAGGCGACTGTAAGAATATTTAAGGCTTGCTTGCACGTAAAGGAGGTCATCCAGCTGGCGTGAGACATAGGCGATTTCGTCATACCCGCTTCAAACTCTTCAGATAAACCTTGCCTCAGTAAGATAAATATGCTCCTTATATTCTTCTCTGTTCCGTTGGCCCTTGCAAATTACGTTGTCACGACTGAAATGTTCTTCCACTGTAAGTTTTCTACACATACATAGTCCACACAACCCTTTCTCCTTAGCAGCATCAGTTAAACCACATAAATCTTGCCGAAGCAAAACTTATCCAGCACAAACTAATATAACCTACATGCAACTAAATACAACTAAAATGTTGTGCATACTTTGTTTAGACGAGCAATAACTTAAGTGAAAAGACTAGAAATTGAGTCTTTTTACGGAGTTATTAGTAATCAAAATTGAGCCGACTGGTAAACGAATAATGCTCTCCATTTGGTGAGACCAAGATTACCCCAATTTTATGCCCCAAGGCATTCGAAACACAATCAAAAGTTAACTTCCAATATTCATTGGTGGATGTAATTGATTCTTCCACTGATATTGCCATTAAATCTTCGTCCGGGAAATCAAAGCTTATCGGCTCATATTCTTGAGAAGCCCTACTTGCAATAAATTCAGCTATGACACTTCCTTTTACTACTTTTTGGCTTACATACTGGATATCAAATTCTGACAACATGATCTGCCAACTAGCTAACCTTTCAGATAATGTAGGTACATCCATTAGATACTTCAAAGGATCATATCTGGATATAAGGCATGTGATGTGATATAACATATACTCCCTAAGGCTTCGAGTGACACATACCAAAGCGCAACACAATTTTTCAATTGGAGAGTATCTAGCCTTACATTCAGTGACCTTCTTGCTGAGATAGTAAATAGCTCTTTCTTTTTTTCTCAGTCTAGTCATGTTGTCCTAATACACACCCTATTGAATTTTCCCAAACTGATAAATAAAGAATTAAGGGTTTACCTGGGATGGGTGGTATCAAGATTGGGGTACTTAAAAAATATTTCTTAACTGTCTCAAAAGCTTATTGACAATCGTCATTCCATGCCCCAAAATTTCTCTTTCTAAGGAGGTGAAAAATGGGATCACATTTCTCAATTAGCTGTGAAATAAATCGAGCTATATAATTCAGTCTTCCCAAGAATCCTTGAACCTCCTTTTATGTTCGTAGGGGTAGAAAATCTTGAATTGTTTTGACTTTATCTGGATCTATTTCAATTCCTTTATGGCTCACAATAAACCCCAAGAGTTTTCCAGATGTCACCCCAAATGTACACTTATTTGGGTTAAGCTTTAACTGTCATTTCCTTAACCTTTGGAAAAGCTTTCTCAAATTCTCGATATGTTCATCCTCTGACTTGGCTTTGACAATCATATCATCGACATAAACTTCTATTTCTTTATGCATCATGTTGTGAAATAATGTTATCATAGCTCTTTGATATGTTTCCCTTGCATTCTTCAGACTCAACAACATCAATTTACAGCAAAACGTTCCCTATATGGTGACAAACGTTATTTTTTCCATATCATCATGGTGCATTTTAATTAGATTGTAGCCAGAGAAACCATCCATGAATAAAAATAAGGAATTTTTAGCAATTATCTACCAAGGTGTCTATATGTGGCAAAGGAAAATTATCCTTCAGACTAGCTCTATTGAGATCCCGATAGTCAACACACATATGGACTTTACCATCCTTCTTTGGTATTGGGACAATATTTGTCGCCCATTCAGGGTACTTGGCCACTTTAAGAAACCCGACATCGAATTGCTTGTTTACTTCTTCCTTGACTTTTAGCAGCATTTTGGGTTTCATTCTTTTCAGATTTTGTTGTACAAGATTACATTCTGACTTATTGGTAACTTGTGTACTACCAAATCTGTATCCAAATCTAGCATGTCTTCATATGACCAAGCAAATACATCTTTGTATTCTTGAAGCAATTTAATCAAACACTATCGTCCTTTATTAAATAGAGTGGTTCCAATTTTCACTTCTTTATTATCCTTATCTGACCCCAAATTTAAGGTCTCAGTATATTCCTCTTTTTCCACCATTTTTAATAGCTCGAAAGGTAAGTCACATCCCTCACCATTATAACAGCCTTCGACTAACCCTTGACACATAGGCTGTTCGAAATCAATTCCCGAGTCAGCGTCATCAGCATTCATGTTATTGATATGTGAGGTCTCTGAAAAAAAAACTTAAAAACTACAGGTAATTCCTTCACAGTCCAATTCTTCAACTCAAAACCTGGTGGTGCGAGGTAGATGCCTATAGCTCTCTTTTCTTCAGATTCATCATCTTATATGACATTGATACTTAGCTTTTTCAAAGTATTCTCAACAATCAGCTCCTCGCCTTGTTGACCATCTTGAAACATATATCCTCCAGACATAAAAGTATTACTCAACAATGGAAAAGTCATTGGTTCCCAGTTGATATCTTCTTCAGCTAACTTTTCCTTTCTCGTTTATTGGTCATTTCTCGTGTTAAGACTCCCTTGTCAAAGAGCATATCTATTTCCTTTAACAAAGTCCAACAACTTCTTGTAAAATGCCCATATACCCTCAAGTGTAAATCACAGACGTTATCTTGATCAAAGCAATGGCATAAGGATTTGGTGACACTTTCACTGACCCCCAAGAGGGGCAACAAAAGCTTAACTAGACATGGAGCAATAAGTTGGGCTTGGAGTAACATGGGATATAACTTGTTGCACGAAACTCAAGAAAAATTGGGTAGAAATTCTTTTGACCTAATTTTCTCCTTGGCATCATCTTAAAAACCTTATGAATGATCATTTAGAAAGTTAAATTTTGAAAAATGTCATGAGAGAGATAGTAGTATGAATATATCTATTTATTGACAAGTTTTGAGCTTCTGGGGATCTTAGGTTTTCAATCCTCAAAGTATAACAACCCTTCTGTGATGAGATATTGAACTTTTAATTTCATAGCCGTACAATTCTCCGTGGAGTGACTAAAATCTTCAGAATGATAGTTGCATGATCTTTTGAGACCTTGCCAATCTGGACGCAAATAAGTATTAGGCCCTGGAGGAATGAGCGTTATGAGGTCACTTTCAAAGAGAAAATGTAATAAGTCTGAATATGAGATTGAAATTGGAATGAGAGGTATCCTTTTCATTTTGCTCTTTTTAGCTTTCTTCAATGGCACTTGAACCTCTTCCATGTTTATCTTCTTTGAATCAAGTTCAATTTTCATGTTAGAGGTTTCACCCTTAATTTATGTTTTCTCCAACTTGATCTCCATCACATTTTCTGGGAGCATACCTGATTTTTGTAGTTGAATTGGATTTCCACATTTCCCAACAGGTTCTTGGTCATTTGTTATCATGGCATTGGCTACACCACTAACATTCAGATTCTCACTCGAAGTTTTCATCTTTTCTTACTCAATATGGTCTTCTAACGTTTTCCCCCCATACATAACAGTATCCATCATACTTATCAGCTTGGACATCTGTGACTTGGAACTTTTTTGTTTCATCAAACATTTCTTGTTGAGTCTTTACAAGTTGCTCCTGGATTTTCTCAATCCTATTAACTCTTGTTGATATTCCATTCGTTGATTTAACCTTTCCAGAGATCTTCCCTGAATGAATTGAATTTACTTTCAAAATCTTCTTACGAGACTCTTTTGGGTTAGGTTCTTCCTAAACTCAAGCTCTAGGTTTATTATAAGTTGGGCTTGGCTCTAAGGTGAAAAGGGTCATCGAATTGTCCTTGTTGGTGCCCCATTGGCTGCCAAACCCTCAATCCTAGCCCATCACAAGCTTTCGAATCGAGTTCAATTTGAAGGAACACACTTCCTTATATCCATACGGAGGTGAAAACCATACGAGGAACATAAGGTGCGAGCTCAAGGAATGGTCCCCTATCCCATACGGAGGTAAAAACCACACGAGGGAGTAGTTTCGTATTCATACTAAATATGATAGAGCGGGGTTTTAGCTCATGTAATGATAATGTAGTGCACAGTGTGTGAGGAAAATCAGAAAGAATAAAAACAATTGTATAACACACAAATTTAATCTTTAAATCTAAAGACACATAATTAAATCTGAAAATATTAACAAACAAGTTAGTACAACTATTTATATAAATAATTATTATTAAAATAATCAAGGGATCAAAAACAAAATTAAAAAAATTATAATTTTATTGCAAAGATAATTAATTAATAAACTGGTGGCTTAACTCTCTAAAAAATTGAGTCCCCAGCAGAGTCGCCAAGTTGTCGAGACGATCTTTTCCCGGCGAAAACAAGTGTCGTTATTTTCTAAATCTCATCTCGAAAAAAGTAGGTATTTTTCTTTTTACATAAGATAAAACACAATTTAAGGAGTCGCCACCAATCATTTATCGAGGTGTGATTGGTCACCAAAAATGCTATGTTATTTTAATGAAATTTATAAAAATATTATTAAAACAACACAAAAAGGGTTTGCTTACCAGAAAATGAGTTCGGGAGTCGGTTACATGTGGAGAAGGATTAGCACCCCCACAACGCCAAAAATTGGTACATTTTTTTATTAATTTAATGTCTTTGTAGTAAAAAATTACAAATTTGAATTTAATTTAATTTATGATCCCATAAAAACATTAGGGATATTATTTTATACGAATAAATCATTTAAAATGAATTCCTAATAAGTTTAAGGAAATATTTTTATGATTCATTGTTTAAAATAATATAACTAGAATACATATAATAAATTTAATGATTAAATTATATAAATATCAAAGTTCTAGGTTACTAATACAAATACTTTATATTTTAGGTACTACAAATGTAATTTAACCTTTATAACTACTCGGGGTTAAAATATAAATTATTAAAATAATAGGGACTAACATGGATATTTTACCTTAATATATATATATATAAATACTGTAAGTGACTAAAAAATAAAATAAAATGCAAATGCCAAATTAAAATGCACAGAAAATCAATTTAGTGACTAAAATGAAAGACTTACAGAGTACATGTACTGCGGGCATGATTTACCCATGTGTAAGATTACACAAAGGCCCCTCCTTTTAACGGTGTCATTTCAGGGAGGGTATAAATACCACTAAATCTGGCCTTTAAGGCCTTCAACCCTCATTTCTCTCATTTTACTTCTCTCTCTAAAGAGAGAGAAGTTCTCAGTTCTCTTTAGAATTCCCTAGCCAGAGGAAAATCGGTCATCGACCGGCCGCCACAAATCGACATTTTCCGCCGCCGCCGGCCTCTGTGAACGGTGGCCAAAATTTGAAAATATACACCAAATCAACCCTCTATTTACCCTAGAGCCGAATCCAACCTTCTTTTCCTCTAAAAACCCACCATATGCAGTAGATCTAGGCTTTTTACTTTCGATGTTTCAGTTCTCCGATGATGCGTGGAGGCTCCGATAAAGGTAAGATTCTCTCAATCTCTTCTCTCTATTTTCTGAGCTTTTTTCATGGATTGGTTGTTGTATATTTCTTCATTGTTTGGTGTCGTTCATTCGTCTCTCTGTCTCTCATTGTTTTCGTCTCTCTATTTCCCTTTTTCTTGTTGCTGGTAAAGGTTTATATAGCCCTCTTGGCACCGTTCATAATGATGAAACTTTCGGTGAGTCACTGGAGCTATGGTGGTGTCTCACCCTATGGATGTGAGGTGTGCGATTAATATTGTTGGGTACCTTAAATGCACCCAAATCTTCTAGATCAGGTGGTGAAGTGTTGGCTGCTGGTTGGAGCACTTGGAGGCGGCGATGGTGGAATCATCATCAACCTAAGGCGGCGATCGAAATAGCCCCTAGGGTTGTAATGAAACCCTAGGGTTTCTGCTAGAATCATCTGGGTCGTTCATATCTAGTTTGATCGGACGGTTGAGGGAGCTAACGACTGGAGCTTGAAATGTGTAAAATCTTAGCAAAAAACCCTAAACGAGTCTTGAGCCTGCTGGATTATCTGGACTTGGCTCAGGTTGTTGGGCTGTTGGACTTCTCGGATATGGACTTGTAAAACGGGGCTCCGATTTTGCTTATTTGGGCCTTCGGATTTTATAATAATAATAATAATAATAATATAATAATAAATATGTAAACTCAGACGAAAATGAATGTCCACAGTAACCTATAGTATATATATTATGCATATATACAATCTATATGTAGTTTTTATAAACTATATATGTAACCTATAGTTTATAAATAATAGTTTATATTAGTGTACTATATAGTTTATAACCTATAGTATATAATTTATAAACTATTTTTATATTAATGTACTATATAGTTTATATTAATGTTAATTATGTTAATTGTAATTTATATTAATATAATATATAGTTTATAAACTATAATTTGTATTAATGTAGTAGATAGTTTATAAACTATAGTTTACATTAATATTAACATTTTAACTATAGTTTATATTAATATAGTATATAGTATATAGTATTAATATTAAATATAGTTTATAAACCATTTATTATATTAATATTAATAAACAATATTTTATATTAATATTAATTATAATATATAATTATATTAATATTAATATTAATTATAAATAGTTTATTAATATAAATTATATAGGGATGAAATTGAAAGAATTTAAAATATAAAGATTAAATTGAATTATTAAAGTTGGAATAAATTAAATAAAATCAAAACAAGGGGACAACAGTACAATGCGAAACGAAGTTCAAAAACACGCAGATCTTGAACCCGACCCGAACGGAGCGACTATATAAGGTAAATTTTTTTGTTTTTCCTCATTTTCTGGTTTCCTATTCATTCTCCCATATTGCTTTATCTCTCTAACTCTCCGATTCTCCCAAAATTCTATGTCTTCTCTCTAGAAGTTCATCAATGTTCTTCATTGTTCTTTGAAAAAAATCTTCATTTGATCTTCAAAAACAACACATCCTAAATTTTTTTTCCTGTTTTTTTAGATCAAACATACAAAATTTCTTAATTTGTTCATCCTTGTTTATCCGAGTTCATACCAAAACCCTCATTTGATCTTCATAAGCCCAAAACCCATGCGATTTCTTTTTTCGATCAAACACCCAAAATTTTCTCCCATGTTCATCCGTATTCATCCCAGTTCATATTTGTTCTTCACAAAAATCGTCTGTTGATCTTCACAAACACCAAAACACATGTCATTTCTTGTTTTTTCTATCAAACCCCAAACCCAAGCAACAATTCATCCTTATTCTTCCCCAAACCATTCTTTGATCCTTATAAACACCTAAAAGTAAAAATCAATTTGTTTTCTTCGATCAAACCCAAACCCTAACACCAGTACATCTTTAATAACCTAACCTCAGCCCTAACCCCAAACTCAACCCCTAAACCTGAACCCAAACCCAAACCCAAACCCAAACCTAAAAAAACCCTAACTGAGCCTCTTCACTTTTTATATCTTTTCATCTTCTGTAACCACGACTGTTCTTCATGTTCTTCCTCTTCTTCAGTCTCTGTTGATATTCGAAACCTTTTTTTTCCAAGGGTTTCGTGGACAGTCTTTCTTACAAGTTGAATTATCCAGGTATATTTTTTTATTATTTTGTTTTTTATTTTATTATTATTCATTAATATATTATTCATTTCTTTTGTAGGAGAAAACCTAACAAATGAAAATGAAGAACACTCTGAAAAAGGTAAATATACTATCATCTGTAGCTATTGTTTATTTGTTTCCTCTGTAGCCCTTGTTTGTGTTGTTGGTTGTTCATTCAGATTGGTTGTATAAGGTTGTTAGCTTCCTTTGTTTGTAGCTTAATCAAGGTTTAATTTTTACCATACTAACCCTAGTTTTTTTGCAAGGAGATGTAAATGATATACTGTCTGAAGCAGTTGATATAAATAAATCCTCTAAGAGGAAGTCCACTGGTTCATCCGAATTTTGAAGAAGAACCTCTCCTGTTTGGGACCACTACACATTCACCAAATCTGATGATGGTTATGTTTATGCCGAGTGTAATTATTGCAAAGTGAAAAGGTATAAAGTTGATTCTTATATTGGTACATCTAATCCTAGAAGGCATGGTGAGAAATGCCAAGCTTATAAGAATTTTCTTGCTGAAAATCCTGCTAGTGTAGCTTCGTTTGATCAAAACAAATACTATGAATTTTTTGCTAAGGCTATTCTATGTCATGGTTATACATAAAATATTGTTGAGCATGAAAAACTTAGGGATTTACATCATTACCTTAATTCTTCTATTAAGGATATATCTAGGTATAATGTTATTAAGTATTGCATGCTGGAGCATGAAAAGCATAAAAAATTACTGCTTGATTCAATGCATTCTGTCTCAAGTCGTGTTAATTTTACATGTGATGCTTGGTCTGCCTGCACTTCACGTTTTTATTTTTCCCTTACTGCTCATTATGTTGA